AAAAAAACTTACTGCTTACTTTTTGCATGAGTGAGCAAGAAAGCGAAGAACACTCCAGCGTAAACACCTAAAAGAAGAAGATGGTGAGGGTGGTGTCATTATTCTAAACCAGATATGTCAAACACAAGGCCCGGGGGCCGGATGCGGTCCACGAAGTGGTTTCATGTGGCCCACGAAGACATCCTGGAAACAGTGAGGGAACGGCCCCCGCTGCCTTGGCCCTGGCCCAGGCCAGCTGGGAGCCAATGTACAATTTTGTGGTGGCCATCTATGCTGAAACCCATTCAGTCTTAGCTCCATAAGGCCCCCCCACCCCGCATGGCCTGAGAAGAACAGCGAGGCTCCTCCAGTGGACCATGCCTTGGCGCTTGCCCCGGTCCCACCCCCTTCTGCCAGAGACCCTCAGATCTGTCCCACTCCTGCCCAGGCCCACAGGCACCCTTGACGCGAACGGTGTAGAGCTGGCCACACCCACCCAGTAGGCCACACCCACTCTGTCCACGCCCACCCAGTAGGCTGCACCCACCCTGGCCACACCCACTCAGCCCCGAGGGCAACCGCAATGCTGATGCGGCCCTCAATGAAATTGAGTTTGACACCCCTGTTCTAAACCATTTCAGAAGACCTGGGATGGGGTTACAGCAGTGTCTTGCCCAGCGTGCTGGCTAGGAAATTTGGGGAGTTGAAATCCGCACATCTTTAAATTGCCAACTTTGAAAAACAACAGGGCGACATCAAACAAACAGAACAGATTTATTCCCTTCGACACTATGGTGGAGCCATTCTGATATTCCATCTGGTTGTGGACAGAACAGGATCCTGACCTGTTATCAGGTTGGGAACCAAACCCCGAGACAAAGTCACGGCTCTCCAGAGAACATCTTTCGGAACATTCTGAGTCTTGTGCATAGCAAATGGCTGTCTGTGGGCTGGGACACCTTTTCCAAGATTGCCGTGTCCTCTGAGAAACCTCACAAAGAACAGCAGCTGTGAGCTCACCCTGTTTAGGCAGGAGGGGTTGATGAATTAAAGCAATAAGGTTGTGTCACTGCATTCAGACTGAGAAGGTACTGAGAGAGGCTCTCTGGACAGCTGTGGCTTTGTGTCATGGTTGGCATACACACATATGTAAACAAGATGAATCTATATGTATATATACACGTGTATATACGGTGACGTTGACGATTAAAGATCATGGCTATGGGGTCGCCA